AGAGAAGAAGAGGAAGGGGTGGTTTGGTAGGCTCATGGACCGCTTTCTGGGTGCTGTCGAGGCGATTGCCCGAGCGGTACTAGCAAGCCTTGGGCTGTTTTCCCCCAACGGCGCTTTTGCGTCGGCCTTCGCGTCATTTGCGGGCCTTGCGGATAGCGCAGGTAGGTCATGCACGGTCTCATGAGAACACGGGCCGCTGGACAGAACCTAACGTCAACCTTCGCAGGCGCTGCCGCGAAGAACGCCGAGATTCGAGACTTGTTGGACAACATTCGCCACCGCGTGGTACAAGGCGTCCCTGGCGCACAGAAGTCCATGACTTCCACTCTATCCGACCAAGAACTTTTGCGGACGCAAGTCGCACTGCGTACAAAAAGGATGCGGACGAACCCTCAGGATGCCCAGAAGGCTGCCCAGCAGTGGCAAGTCATGACTCTACGATACGATCGCATCGCGAACCAACCTAGGTAGTGCCTCCTACGCCGCTACCCACTGTCCTCGATGAGTCGTGTCCGCAGCAGTATGTACAGTTGTACGCATTCTCTGTCGAGCAACTGACAGGAACATCGCTTTGAGGCGTTTGAGCGGCTTCGGCGTATGAAGGAGCGAGAGGCCGGCGATCACAGGAGTAAACAGGTGGTAATGCGCGTTCCTCATGGGGTGTGATCTCCAAGGATAATCCTCGTGTCAGTGGGCCGAGGCGGGGACGCGATGCGACGGAGGCAAGAAGGGGCAGTGAGCACAGCAGTCGGTCTACTGCGCCAGCCGATGGATCTACGCGTCAAATTCATTTCGATCTCAGACAGCACAGCGTAAGTGATATTCGGGCTCCGAAATGGCAACGATAGCACTCTCCGAGCTTAGTAAGCTGTGTGTTGATGAGTCATCAGAACAGCCAACAGCCCGGGTGTCGAAGCCATGTCGAAGCCCCTCCAAAGACCAATTGCGACTCGGACAGGAAGGACCGCTCTCACTCGAGGATATTCGTGGGGACTCGGAGTCCAAGGGAGTCCACCGCTGGCTGACTGAGCTATGCCGCGGACCGCGAACGGGGACGTGCGCAGCAGGGCGGCAGTCAAAATGGCGCACAGCCTCCTACGGTGGTCCGCGGCGCATCCCACCGCCGCCCCGCCCCCTCTGCACGTGGAGGCGCTCCCATTCGCCGCGAGGCTCTCGTCCGTGCTGCGAAGCACTGCATTGTCCGCCTGCTCTCTCGTGTTCGGAGCATGACTACCGCGGTATTGACTCATGGCATGTTGTTGTTTCCTGACTTGCCGATGCACCCGGCTAGGTCCCCGACACCGAGTCACCGGCCGTATATAAGGCCCCGAGCTCGTTCCAGTGGCGACACCGATCCGCCCCTTTGTTTTCTGACACTCCTCCTCTCCCGTTCTCGCTCTTACGACTTACGACCAGCCTCCTCCCAATGACCCGCCTTGCCTCTCCGAAGACGGCCAGAATGCAACAGTTGTCGAACGAGCATGATCAGGAGCGCAACTTTCGGGCGCTTGACCGCATCCTCGCCCGAAGCTTCGTCCGGGAGCTCCTGCGCCACCGTGCCAGACAGCCTTCCGGACCGCCCACGGACAGACTGCTACGGCCTCGGTGAGTCGCTCTGTGCTGACCTACATGTCCTATCCCTGACTTCGCATCCCAGGATGGACCTCTGCGATGAGCCTGCGAGCGCTTACATCGTCGCCACTCTCGAGCTGCCCGGACTCAAGCAAGAAGACCTCTCCGTGCGGATAGAGAACGGCCTGCTCGTCGTGCAAGGCGAGCGACGCTTCCGCTCGCTCGCGCGCACCCCGAGTCGCAGCCTCGCCGCAAGCCCCAGCCCCGACCCCGCCCATGCTGGACAAGGTCCGGTGGCGTCCACGAGTGCCCTCGCCCGCGCCCAGTCGGCGGAGCCGGCCTCCCGCGCAGGCTGGCCGGATGCCCAGCAGGGCCTGCCCTACGCGTATACGACCCAGGAGATCAAGTACGGCACGTTCCAGCGGACGCTCGCTCTCCCGCTGGGCACGCAGGTACGTCGTGTGCTGCCCCACCTCGGTTCCTCCGCGGCTGACTTGGTGTTCTCCTCGCATGCAGGTCGGGCACGTACGCGCGTCGCTCACGGAGGGGATGCTCACGCTCTCGTGGCCGCGCAATCCGCACGCGGTGCCGGTCCACGCCGCCGGCCAGGACGACGCTGCCAGTGCGAGGGCGAGAGAGCAGCCCGGATCCGTCGGGCGATCCGGCTGAGACGTGTCGCGTCGTTTGAGCATACCTGTTGCCAGCCCCGCAGCTGCAACGCCGTATGACTCATCCGGCGGGGCCTCCGTGCCGGACGCATACACGCATACACGCATACACGACGGCTTCACTTCGTGCCCGGGCACTGGGCCGGACGGCTGACGCGTCCGTGCGGTGGCCCACGCACCCCCCACTCTGTCTCTTTCTCGTTTATGTTTCCGTCATGACTCTCATGCCGCGCTCGCAGCCGGACCTTCGTCGTTCTATCTGCCTCCATGTATATCTGATCTTGGTCACCGTACTCCCGCGTTTCTCAGTTATTGGTATGTATCACTTCCGGCTGTCCCGTACCCAAATGTACCCTACCCTCAGATTGCGAATAATCTAGATACCGTTGCACTGCTCCGCAATGCCTCTTATGGACAGAGCTTCAATCAACTGCCCCCGTAAGGCAAGACGTGCTAGCGTGTTTCGGTACGTGCGCAGTTGACAGATGTTGGCACGGTGCACGCCTGTCGTAGTCACGGTGAGTAGAGCCTTGAATCGAGTCATGGTGCATGCAACATCGCAGCTAAAACAGGGGAGTGCTAGTGCTAGTGATGAGTCGGTGCGACTCACAGTAGCATGGACAGCAACGCACGGTACGGTCACCGTAACGGTATTGCGTGATTATCCCCGTTCAGTTGTGAGACGCCTTTGTGTATATGTGTACAGTACCAATACGCTAACGATCCACCGATAGTCATCCTACATACAGGGTCGGGCGAAGGCAAACTGAAGGTGCAAACACGAGTCCATAGTAGCGATCAGTGTGTAGCGACCAGACACTTCTCAGCGTGTACAACCAATTGCGGCCCCTCCTCAGTGACTTTGCTGTAGAAGTACAGGTGCCAAAGGTGATGCATCTCCAGGTGCACCTTGCCCAAAGTCTTGACGTGGGCACCATTGCTCATGTGTCCCATCCTGTTCGCTGCGTCCAGCACCCGATCCCGCTTCATGAGCACAATGTGCTCTCGTGACGTCTTCAGCTGCTCATCGACTTGTCTCGCCTCTTGCTCCAACCCATTGCGGAACTCTCTCAGCTTCCGCTGGACACCCTCGATTTGTTTTGGGAGATCCTTTTGAAGCAAGTGCACGATGTGCGGATGATGGCTCACAACTTTGGCGATCAAGTTTGGTATTACTGTGCGAATATATGTGAGACCGGCGATCCATGGAGAGTATAATTGGTTGGAAGATGTTAATATGACTCACCGTCTCTAGCCTTCTTCAGCTCCTTCTCGACCCATACATCAAATTGCGGGGCGATGGCTTTCACGAGCTCGTGAACGATGTGACCGGCAGGATGAATTTTGATGACGACCAGCGCGGTCTTGACGATAATTGCCAGGACGATCTTCAGTGCACGAAAGAGCTGTTCATGCCACCCATCTTTCCCATTTTTCGTCAGAAAGCATGTGAGCTTCGTGCAAAAGTTTTGCGAGGCGACCTCCAGATCGTCGATCCGCGGAAACAACGCCACAAATGACTTCCGGACTTCTTCTCCTGCGCAAACCACATCGTCTCCCGGGTTTTCACTCAGAGGCACGCCCATGTCCACTCGGAGCCGGGTTGCCAACTTTTGGCAGAACGTCCTGTGCTTCTCGATGGCTGTCTCGGACTGCTTGAGAACCGTATCTGTACGCTCCCCCACCTCCAGGATTGCCACCAGAATGTCTTTGTATTCCGGCTGATCACTGTCGTGTCTGTAGTTTCTGGAGTCAGTTTACGCCGATGCGCTATCAACTTGAAGTGGCTGTGTTACGCACCCCGCATTCTCGACTTCAGATTTCCAGTCATCGAAGCGTTCCTTGCACTTCTTCAGCTCGTCCAGCGGACACGAATCTTCGTCGGGTCCTACATGCTCTTCTTTAGGCGCTTTCTCATGCGTGATCTCTTTCGGATGTTTCCCCTAGGGCGAATTATTATTGCTGTCTCGATAGTAAGTCCACTACGAGGACTTACAGTGTGAGGATGTAGGACATCTTGCAAAAGGTGCATCGTATCGTGAATTTTCTCCTAGAGCGAGGTATCATCGCTGCCATCCTTGACAGCAAGTTCACTACGAGGACTTACACCCATGTGAGGATGCATCAGATTTTGAATCATATGGCTGGTCATGTCGTCGTGAAACGATACGTGACTACTGGGTCGTGGATCAGGCAGTAATGAGACCTAGTAGGCTTGCGTGGTAATTGAAGAGACGATTAGAGGAAAATGAAGTTGAAGTCAACTAGCCTGAGCGAGAATGCGGAAGAGATATCGCTGTAGCGTCGCAGTCGGGTACTGCATTTTATATGTTGCAGAACGGTCGGACGGACCTGCATTTTTGTGTCCTGTACGTCGTGTAGTGACCCTGAATTGAAGACCGTGCAGAAATTAACACGATGCGATGGTGTGTCAAAAACATCCGTGGCACACTGGAAATCGCCAGTTGGCCTGCTGGAATCAACCACAGTAGCCCTGAAGTAAATTTCCGAAGACTGCCCCATGCATTCGCCTGCATGAACGAGACACTGCTATCAGTTGGCGCCCAGCCCCATTGAACATTCTTTTTTTTTTTTTTTTTTTTTTTTTTTTTTTTTGGAGGGCTATACGCGGCGTCCTGCACTTGACAATGGGTCAAGCCAGGGCAGCCAGCCAGCTAGCGGGTTCCCCCGCGGGTGCTTCCAAGGATCGAATAAAAAATGCATTTACGCACGGCCGGCGTCCGGCCCGTGTGGGGCTCTTCACCCAGCGTCCAGGGGGATGCGGAGCGAAATACCCACTAAAACCTGCGGTTGGGTGGTCCAGTCTCGGGGTAGAGCAGACTCATCGTGTATCACGCCGTTCCAGGTGCTAAGCACAGTTAGGGCTGGGATCGCGATACGTCCGAAACGGCGGTGTGTCATAGCTTTGTCGCGGTGTAATCTCAGGTTGATCATGGACAGCCAGCGGCATCGAACGCTCGCCGCGGAGTGCTGCCAGTCGTCCTCGTCCGCATGTGCGATCACCCGCTCACACCGAAGTTTCCATATGAGGAAGGCGGACTCGGAGATGAGAATGCGCCAGAGGCGGGATGCGCCCTCTCGCCGGGTGCGTTTCCCCGGGCGTGTCCAGAAACGCGATCCTATACTGAGGATTTCAGCTAATGCCGGTACCTCCCAGGGGAGCTTTTTCCTCTCCCAGACTTGTTGTGCGAGCTCCCAGATTACACTCTGTCCCGTGGCACGACAGGCGAGGAGGATATGGAACAGGGATTCCTCCTCCCCACACGCCGCACACCGCGCGCGGTCTTCGTATCCCGGTATCTTCGTCCAGTAGGGTCCTATACGGTGCGCGCTATGGACCGCTTTCCACAGGAAGTCGCTGACCGGTCGCTGCAGGTCCCGCTGACGGATGCTCCGCCATAGGTCTGCCGGCCGAGGGTCCTTGAAGCCCGCCTCCGCCATGGCCGCCATGCACTCAGCGACGCCGGCGACCGTACGTCGACGGTCTTCTGTTTTAGCGGTTGCTCGTATCCCTGCGTAGGCGAGTTTTTGCGTGAGGAGCGCCAACCGGACTCCGGACAGGTCGAAGGCTGCTTCTCTTTCTAGGTCGGAGTCATGGGGGTCACCGCGCTGAGCACCATCGGTGAGTAGCAGGGATGCACGGTTTATCGATCCCCACTCTGAATCAGTCCCTGCTCGTTTTAGATATGTCGGCGCACACCGTCGGCGGAGTGAGCTCACTAGGGCGCGGAGTTCTTCCGCAAAACGGGTTCCTATCCACCCAGAGTCCTCCCAGGAGGCCAGGTGCGTGGTGAGGGCCGGTACCAGAAACTTTGACCCACAGATGAGGTGCAGGGGGACATCGAGCGGCACCAGGCGCGTGGTCACTAGGGCTGCCCGGAGCTCACCCTCTATCTTCCTATCTCGTGGGTTCCTGCACAGGAACGTGACTATCCGGTTGTGATGGTGTCCTTGGCCGAACCAGACCGCGGTATCGGTGTCCGCTAGGGGCAGCGGGTCCACTGCCAGGTATGGGCGCCCGAGGGTCAGGTATGCAGTCGTGGACTCCTCCGTGACCACTCTCCCGGCTCGGCGCCGGATTGCAGGGGGAAGGTCATGCACGGTTGGGTCTACGAAGGCTCGGAAGGCTTGGGATACACCTCCACGTTCAGTCACGGTGGGATCGAAGACGACCTCCTCCCCCGATTCAAGTGCTTCAAAGTTCGCGTCGTGTCGCCTCTTCGTCAGTGAGAGGTTATCCCTGGGCGACTCGTCGGTGGGGTTCCATTTAGGTCGGATCAGGCTTAGGATTCTGGATGCAGCGAGGCAGCATGCTGCGGGGTGAGGGCATCCGAGGCCAGCGTCCGTAGAGCATTCGGCACAGTCGCAGTTCGCCGGCGTTTGTGGCCTACCGAGGGCCCTATGTCGTTCCGCCAGGCGGAGCAGGTCTGTGACCCGCAGGACGTTATGCACTGTCCTCAAGCAGTCGCTCACCTTTGTGTTGTTCAGCCGGCGTAGGTGTCGTTCAGCGCCGAGGTGGTACCATGCCGGTAGGGTCCCTTTCAGTTCATTTGACAGCTTGATGGCTTCAAAACTGATGTTGTACTTCCTGCTCACTCTGAGGAACTTTGTCAGGTAGACCGGTAGGGGTGATCTAGAGTGGGCAGCGGGGGTCCAGGTCTGGAGGAAGGAATTAATCTGGGCTGGGCGTCGGATGGCACCGGCATCTGCGGTCACGGCTTGGTTTAACAGCGCGTCAACGGCGAAGGCCCACATTGGTCGCGCAGGGGTGAGTTCCAGATATCGTTTCACCCACGTGAGCTCAATCGCTTCATTTCTAGCTCGGAGATTGAGTAGGCTGAGGCCACCGGCCTCCACCGGTCTGTACAGGGTGTCTATGTTTACGGGTCCAGGGCGGGGCGTGCCCCACATAAACTCCCGTATCATCTTTGTCAGGGAGTCTTCTATTTGTTTGGGCATGCCTTGTACCTTCGTCAGGTATTGGGACATTCCCCCCGGGCCCATTTGAACAATGTGCCGTTTCCCGGCCAGGGACGGGTGGCACCGACCCCATCTTTCCAAAAAGTTTGTAACTTTCGTCAGGATCGGGGACCAGACGGCTGACTCGTCTACACCATTCCCGATCCAGGCGCCGAGGATGCGTACCGCCTCCCCGTCCGCGGCGATGTGGACGAAGAGCGGGATCACATCGTCGTCACGGTCGCCTCCCAGGCGCCGAGTCTCTAGGACGGACGCCCGGTATTCTGGACTACCTACAGGTATGACTTCTGTCTTGTTGTCGTTAAAGCGCGCCCTTGACGCGGCGCACCATTTCAGGAGTATGCGCCATAGGTCAGACCAGGAGTCAGAGGCGGATAGGTAGGTTGATGTGTCGTCCGCGAAAAGGGTCGTGACTAGTCTTTCCGCTGCTCCGGGGATCGAGAAACCGGTAATGTTTGATGTTCGGAGCATGCAGGCCAGGGGCTCGATCGCAATTATGAAGAGCAGACACGACAGGGGGTCGCCCTGTCGTACTCCGCGTATGACTCGGAAGAAGGTGCTGCGTTCACCATTGATAAAAATGACCGTTTCGGCCTTCTCGTACAGCCTCTTAACACGCCCAATGAAGGTGTCAGAGAAACCGAAAGCTTTGAGGGTGACCCAGAGGTAGTCGTGAGCGACTTTGTCATATGCTTTCTCTTGATCTAAAGCGACTATTGCCCCGTTCTCCTCCACCGCCTCGCAGTAATCTGTCATGACCCGGGCCAGTTGTGTCTGGTCCTCGATGTGTCGACCCGGAACAAAACCGGCTTGGTTTGGGTGGACTATTGCGGGCACGATCGCCCCTAGGCGCGTCGCCAGGATTCGGGTATAGAGCTTGTAGTCAGTATTCAGGAGAGTGATGGGTCGGTAATTACTGATATCTCTTCTGTCGCCCTTTTTGTAGATCGGGCACATCCAGCCTTCGGTGAAGCTCGATTTCTCGTCCAGTCCATATTCATCGATGTCTTGGTAGACCAAGGTAAGCATCTCAATGCAGTTAAAAGCGTCCGGGTTCCGGTGGCTGTCCCTTTGGAAGCGTTCATGTAGGCTCTTCCATAGCTCATAGGGCAGGCCGTCCAGACCCGGCGCCTTCCCAGCTTGCGACTTCTTCAAGGCTGCCAACACGTCGTCTTCTGATATCCTATCGTCTAGGGGGGCCGTTTGGGCAGCGGTCAGTGGGGCGGGAAGTACCGAGAGCGCTTCAGTGATTATCGCCTCCCGCCGTTCACTGGGACCTTCGTCCGCCAAACCTACACGTTGTATGTGGTCATGATAGTCTCGGGCGAGTTCTGCCATCTTACTGGACCGCGTCTCATAGGCCGGGGGGGTACTCGCAGGGATTTGGAGTGAGTACATAATATCTCTTGGTTTCTTGTCTTTATTTATTCGAGACCAGTAGGCTGACGGGGTCTCTGCGTTCAGGGCGTATCTCGCCGATATCGTGGATCGGGCCGCGTTATTGCGCTTTTTCAGTAGGTCACATAAACGGTCCGTGACGATTGCAACTTCCGTTTGGGCTTGGGGGTCAGTGGCATAGTCATCCTGGGCTTGCATCTTGTCCAGGGCTGATTGCAGACGTCGTATAGCGGCGTCAAGCTTTGGGGCGCGGAGTTTCATGCGTCTCCTCGCCGCGTCTACTACGTCCTTTTTGAAAGCGGCGAAAACAGATTGCGGGGTCGTTCCTTCGGAGCGATTCTGCACCTCGGAGTGTGCTTTCATAAGGGTGAGGGCAGCGTCTCCGCGTAACATGATGTCCGATACGAAGTCGAAGTCAGACAATAAATGTGCGGGTAGGGCCCATCGACCCTTTCCAATATACGGGGCCTCGGCCGCACTGATTCCGGCACACACAAGGCGGTGGTCTGTTGGGACTCCGGTCGACCCTATGGACCAGATCGTTGAGGCTAGTAGAAGTGATTCAGTTGCGTATATGCGGTCCAGTCGTGATCGTGACAGGCTTCCTCTCTGGGGATAGGAGAAATCCTTCTGCGTAGGGTGGGTCACTCTCCAGCCGTCTTGGAGGTGCAGGTGCTGAAGCAGTCGTTGTAGATTATCAACTTGGTGCTGCGGGTCTGGCCTTGCCGGGATGCGATCCACCGGGTCTTCCACTACATTGAAGTCTCCGAGTACAACCTCCGGCGCGGCTAGGTGTAGCGCTGTGAGTCTGTCTTGGACCCTCCCCCAGAAGGTCGCGTTGTCTTGGGAGGAGTTCGGCGCATAGATGTTCAGCATGCGTAGCCGGCGTCCTGCATGCCAGTGGAGATCGAGGTACAAGGCGCGGCTTGGAACAACTTCCGTCATACTGACGTCCGCCACGTCGACCAGTTCTCTGTTGAGAACAAAAGCTACCCCGCGCGCGTTGGTCGCGTCCGGTGCGGGGGCGTGAATGATTCGTAGTCTGCGTCCATATAGATCATGTATTTTATCCACGTGCAGATCGTCAAGATGAGTCTCTTGGAGGGCCAGTATGCCTATACGTTGGTCCCTCATAAGTTGGTTGATTTCAGCCCACTTATTTGTTGGTGCGTCCGCAGCGAAGGTGCCGCGGCCGCTAATGTTCAGCGAGCCGATGGTGAGGCCCGCCTTTGTGTGGCGACCTCTCGTACTGTGCTGGGTGGGTCGCGGAGGAGATGTGGAGCTTACCGGTTGGTTTCGCCGGGACTCCATTCGATTCATGTTTTGCCCAACGCGTTGTGGACCGGACAGCGCGTTCGACGCCTGGGCGTTGTGAACGCCGGCACTGATGGCGTCTGCGTGATCAGTGTCGGCCCTGCCACCGGGGAACGTTGCCCCGTCGGTAGGCCTAGCACAGGCAGGGGGAGTGACAGGCCTTCGGGGGCACCGTGAGGGACCAGATGTCGGTAATACTTCCGTCTGTGTGTTTAAAGTGGGTGTAGATGCCGTTGCGCAACCATTCCCCCGCTACAACGATTCGCGAGGGCGGGACGTCGCTCCTGGACGTCTCAGGTGACATGTCGGGCAGACAAACTATGCCGCCGCGACTTAAGCCTCTCGGCAGGGCAAGATCTAACAGTGCCCTTGAGCTAGATAGGAGAGAGGGGATTCCGCTTCGCTAGACAGCTTTCCTGTCCCGTTGCCGGTCAGTAAGTGTGGGCATGTCATCACGCGTCGCGGAATTCACGGAGCATTGTTAGCATTCAAAAGGTGGTGTTACAAACAAGGTGGTGTTACACGAGATACCGCGGTAGGGAGTATGTACACAATGATGGATACGGATGTAAAGCGGCTATACTGGGCATCGTACAACTAGTTCTGTCCGCCGCCGCCTCGTCCACGACCGCCGCGCCCGGCGCCGCGACCGGCGCGTCCTTGCCCGCGCCCGCCACGATGACCACCGCGGTTATGGCCTCGGCCCGTGGCGAGGCCTTGTCCGCCTGGGACCTGCACGACTCCGCCTTGGATACGGGGCCTAGGCCCGTGCCAGTCAGGAATCTCACCAAGATAACACAGACCCGTAGGGTGGTCCGTGGAGTGACAAATCGTACACCAGAGCCGGCTCGTGGTGAACTCCGGGGCGCCCGTCTGCGCGCTGCCGAAACGAAGGTGTTGAACGATATTACGGAAATGGAGCCAGGCGGTTGCGTCTGCGGTGGGGGATTGACAGTAGATTAGAGCGAGCGGCTCCGCGGTGCGCGGGTTGCGGCGCCAGGGTAGCGAGCGGACCATGATGGAGTCTAGGAGGATGTCAAAAACGTCGTCGACGTCGAATCCAGTCCAGAGTCCGCCTACAGCAGCAATGTCCTCGGCGATGAGGCCCCGGATCGCGTTCGCAATCTCATCGTCCTCGAAAGCATCTCGCACGGAGCTAGCCATACCGTCCTCGCTAGTATCACCGAAGCGTTCGATGTGTCGCCAGGCACCGAGGAAGAAGGGCGCGTCGAAGCGCCACGGCTCAAACCCCAGAGTGATCTCCGGAGCGGAGAGCCAGCGGCACTGCGCGAGGTCGTTAGCCTGTGCTTGCGTAATCCCCCGGATGATATGGAAAAAAGGCTCCGAGTTGGGCCGCTGCGGGCCGGGCCCAGGAAGAGCCGCCGTAACAGTAACGTCGTTCATCGCAAAATACCGCCTGAGCGCGGCCTTAATCGCAAGCAAACGGTCCCATACCCCAGGGTCCGCCGCGCCTACTTCTGGAATCTGAACGAGTACAGCGGGACTCACATCCTGCATCCAGGCCTCGACCTGGTCCGAGTCCATGCCACGAATACGCCAGAAGATGTCGCCACCTTCCACCCTTCTCCAGCCTCCCGTTGGCGGCCTCGTCAAGGCGTTCGGCGGAGCGAGACGGTAGGGAGGAGGGTGGTGCGGTGCGTGCGGCGGCGGCGGGATAGGCGGCGGCAATCCGGCAGGGGGACGCGGGGCACGCGCGGCAGCCCGCTGGAAGTCCGGGAACTGGTGGATAGGGGCGAGCACCGGAGGCGCGGCGGGCTGGAGGGAGGGCTGACGTCCGTAGGGAGGCGGCGGTGTCGGTGTGCGACGGATAGGGATGGGGCTCGAGGCCCACGTCTGCGCCGACGACCCGCGAGACGCGGCGTTACTGCCACCCACATCGCGCAGGACAGAGCCAGTACGGTGCTCCTGGGGCTCTGGCTGGAAGGAGGGAGACGGCGATGGGAAGGGTGTACGAGGGTAAGTGACATGCAGTGAGATCGTGCGGAGGCGGCTTGCCTGGTTCATCGCTTCTACAGGATCCGCACCGGCTACGAAGGCGTGCCCTCCGTCCGCCTCGCCCATGATTACGTCTGCCAACTCCTCGTCGGTGATGAAGGCACTCGAGTGCGGCGCGTTCTGGACGCGCGCCGTGACCGGCTCGGGTTCATCGTCGCTGAAGTCGGCCGTGGTCCTACGACGCTTCCGCGCGTCGCTAACAACGCGCCTCGGAGGGGGAGGAGGCACGTTCTCGTCCTCGTCGTCGCTGTCCGGGACCTCAAGCAGGTCGGGAAGGTCGTCGGGGGTCAGCGAGCGGCGGCGGCGGCGCGCGGGGCCTTGCCCTTCGCCTTGCGGCGACGTGCCGCGACTGTCGGGCTCGACGAGGGAGACGCGGCGGGAAGGGAGCGACCGCGTTCCGGAGTCTCGTCGGCTTCGCTGTCAGACGGCTGGAGGGGGTCGCTGCCGCCGCCATCGATCCCATCTTGAATGCGTTCACGCGGGGTGAGCTCCGGTGAGGGCGTACGCGATGGGGCGGGCTCGCTCGGCGCAGGCGAGGCGGGAGCGGCAGGGCGCCCATTTTTGACCATGTTCGCGTAGCCTATGTCGCGCGTAAATGGTACGTCTCGGGGAACAGCGACGGGAGCACGTACTAATGCCAGTGACCTTGTCCGGAGAGACCGCACGGCCCGCGGACCACGGGTTAGCCGGCGAGTCACTAGGCGGGCCATCCACCGAGCGGCGCAAGGCGGCATTGACCACAGGAAGAGCGCGTTCACCAGTACTAGTCGCGGCGACGCGGGAAGGCGGCGAGCTGCGGGGTAGAGATGGGGAACGCATTTTTAAGCAGAGAGATTGTTTTTTGGAGAGATACAAGACGAGTTTGCAAGAGGTGTAGGTTCCGTTTGCTGGCTGGTCCATTGACGGTGTTGATGTCTCGTCTTTAAGGTCGAGCGCGGGCGGCTGCTCCTGCGGTGACTTCCCATTTGAGGTGTCAAATAGGCTAGACCGCCGCTCGTATGCATTCGACTGGGATATTTAGGCCCTTTGTCCATTTAGTGTTGCCATCTGGCAGTATACATCGGTGAGTTTTTTGGGAGTGTTGATCGTTGTTGGTCCCAAATCTATTTGTGAGCTTAACAGGCCGCTGACTTGTTTACTGAGCTTAGTTGCGTAGGTTGAGTCTCCGCGTTCCATTTCTAACAGGAGCGGCGCAGCGATGCTAATATTTTGGTTGCTGTATACTCGTCGTGCACGGCGAATTCCTGGTAGTGTCTGCAGAGCGGTCTAGACACGCGGCTGTCTGGCGTCTCCCGTGAGGAGTTGTGTACGGACCTGTGGCCACGCTGTCAGAGGCGGCCGTGTTCCGTTGGGAGGTGCCAGCCAATCATCTCGAGGCAGGTGCCGGGACAGGGTTCGGCACTGGTCTGCTTCCCGTGCATCGCCGCGGGCCATCAATTGGCGTCGCTGCGTATTGTCATGTATGTCGGCATTCCAAGGTACGTTTTCTCGGGCTGTCACCGGGCACAAGCGTATATTCATGTATGGAGTTATCTGTAACGCGATCTGCCATCTCCTCCCGAGACCGTCCTTCAAAATGATCCTTTAATCTGATTCCCACCCCATCGCCGCCATCATTGGTTGCGGATTCGCGCTAGTCGCGCGTCTAGGTGTGCGGGATCCTCCCACACATCGAATTCGTAGGGGTTCTCGCCGTCCATGGCGATCATGGGGTTGCCGATAAAAGCGGGGTGTGGGTCGGGTTCTTCCGGGAGGGCGTGATAGCGCGAGGAGTGAGTGTGGCTCTCGAGCGCGCCGAGGACCGCCCAGGGAATCGGGACGCGAAGGCTGCAGAGTCGGGGCCCACCGGATATGGCGAAAGAGGCCCAGTGACGGTATAACCCGTTTAGGGAGGAGAGGCGTCCAACCCCGCTCACGTGACCAGCAGCTTTAAGGATTATTTTGGTGTTCTTTGTCAGCTGCCTCTCTGGGCGTGATGCCACCACCCATACCGCGCCGCGTCCGTCACCTCTAGCGGGTTGGTCGAAAACTTCGACTTCAAGGATGGGTTCACCTCCAACAGGGAGTGACAGGATGGGGAGGGGAGTAATGAGGATGGTGCGGGGTGTGGGGACGCCATTTGGGAGGAGGCGTCTTAGCTGGCGGTGTTCAAGGGGATTATGCTTTGTGGCTCTTTTTTCTGAGACTGTTGGGGGCATGTTGGAGCGGTGTGTGCCCTTCCATGATTCCTGGAGCCAGGTCTTAAAAACTGGAGCAGGTTGAGCGTTACGGGGCGTTACGGGCATTACGGGCATTACGTGTAGGCGTAGAGGGTGTCAGGAGCAGCGCTTATGTATGGTCAGGCTGTACTCTTTTTACGTGACAGCGGTGTTCTCACTTTTTTGGGTCCAGAGACGCTCATACTCGGATCATGGAGTAGTATGGGGAAGGCATAGGCATAATATGGTGTATGTCAATCGATTTGTTCCAGTCCTATGTGTCTGCGCTCTCGCGGTCGCTTAAGCGCGACGTTTTTCGGGGATGGCCGAAGACTGTATAGTTTACTCCTGGGGGCTGAAACCTTAGATAGATTTACGCGCCAGGCCTGAAGTAAACACCGGGCCCAAGGTAGGCGCCCGCCTGCTTACATAATATAAGGAGTGGGTGGGCAGCATTGTAGGCATCCGGGCTGGCGTCGCCCTCCTGTTCGTAGGGGAGGAGATTTCCGTCGTGGTAGACAGAGTCCCTCGTAGACAGCGTAGTCTAGGATAGTGGAGTACAGTCCGTGGTTAAGGAGACTGACAAGAGGGTGGATGGTGTTGGTCCATCTAGGATGTGTATCCTTGGTCCCGGGTGCGACTGGCTAATCCCAGGGCCTGCGCATGTTCGTTTCATCCTTCCGGATTACTTACCCCCCGGACCACGAGAAGGTCTGCGCAGGGCGTGTTCTACAACGACGCCCTCCCGGGGGCCCATTGAACATTCGACTCACCACTGACCACGTCGGGGGCATCTGAATGCCTTGCGATCCTGCGTCGCTCGCTTCGATTGAACCATGCAGTTCATATCATGAAGCAGACAGGTAATGGCCGCACATGAGTCCGATGGAAAACCCCGGATAAAGCTGGGAACTCAAAATCCCTGAGCCCTGAGGCCTGAGGCATGAACGTTTGAACGTGAACCCTGAGGGCGCACACATATACGGACGATAAAGTTACAACTTACGCGCAATATGAACGTCTACTGCAACGCTGCGTGGGCCACACTGGCACCTGCGTACCGACTAATGGACACGTATCACTGGCGCTGTGGACTCGTCTTGCGTGTGGCACCATTCGGATGCCGGATCTTGAGCTTCTTCATGCGGTGGCAGCCTTACTCGTCTACGGAGCAGGGCGATAGAAGTCGTTGACTGCACAGTTGCCGGATCACCACAGATATGTGACATTGTCATCGACGCATTACATATAGAAGTTCGAAGTTCCGCACGACGAAATGGCATGTCGACGGGCCGCCAAACTGCCAGTGGGAAGCTTCAAATTCACGCTCAAGATGTCAATGATGTCCAAGGGCTCTCCAGAGAATGGCGATACTTAGTAAAGCAGCCAGTGTAGACCTCATCACGGCGAACCAAAGGGACCCGTCGACGCAATGTCAGGGATCGCCGGAGTATTAGCCTGTACTACGACTCGATAAACGGTCACCGACGACCAATACGCTGGCATTGAAGTTACTGAATATTAAATACTGATCATTGAGTCTCTCACATGCAGACAATTCAGCAGACCTGTTTGACCTCAGAGTACCTTGGGAAAGGGCAATCGACGTCGACTCGATCGACTTCAGTCATGGTTGTTTCTGTAAAGCTGGGGCGGTCATGAGCGCTAATGTGACATCATGTGCCATTACTTCAACATTACTTACTGACAATGCTTATCAGCCAGTAGTAATACAATAAATTTAGAAATGCCATCGCTCCATATGCGCTTTCAGGCGTAAATATCTGTCTTCAATAGTGTGCCTTGTTTCGAGCGAGCAGTGCTCGCCCTGAGGAATTCGCTCAGCTTGTACATCGTCATGAGAATGATTTGAACTTCAATTTGAGAGGCTCGCATCAATGAGGGGTTTCTTACCGACTCTCCTTTCTGGGTTAGCTGGCGTTACGAGATTGTCAAAAGTAGACGTACTCAACCGATACTCAACTCTTCTATCAAGCCTGACTCGATTTGTAGAGATTGCTTGTATGCTTCGTGTGCTGACTCGGATTCAGCACCTGCATCCTCGGACTTTACCTTCATTTCGAGTCTCGACTTGCCAGATCTCCAACGTTCGTCTAGAGTCGACTATGGCTCAGCCGGTCGCGTCATCTTCGCAGCCTGCGCAACTGCCCGCGCTTGAAGGGCCTCATCTGGGCCAGAATGAAGGGAAGAAACCTAAAGAGAAGAAGGAGAAAGCAGTGGCAGCGAGTGGTCAATCACTGGAGGTACGACATCTTCACGTATTGTCTGAGCATGCTTTACCGAACCTACGCAGCTGAGCCCGCGGCCAGAGTACTTTGACCATCGCATCAAGATGTTCGATGAGTTGAAGGCGCGGTACGATGAATGGGTCAAATGTGCGTTCACATCTTGAAGATTTGTCGGACGGCTTCGTCTCATGCTTCGGTACAGCGCAACCACGTCAAGAGGTCGAGATCACGATGCCCGACGGCTCAAAACGCAAGGGCACGAGCTGGGAGACGAGCCCACTGGACATCGCGAAGGAAATCTCCAAAGGTCTCGCGGATCGCGTCGTGATTGCGAAGGTTCCGACCGTTTGTCCACCTCGGGTCGCTCGTGCTGAACTGTGATAGGTGAACGGCGACGTGTGGGACCTGGAGCGGCCGCTCGAGGGCTCGTGCACTCTTGAACTCCTTGACTTCGAGCACCCCGAAGGTGAGCGCCACCATGGTGGCTTCGCGCGATCTCAAGTAACGACGGCCCGTAGGCAAGCGCGTCTTCTGGCATTCGTCTGCGCACGTCCTCGGCGAGGCCGCGGAACGTCACTATGGCTGCCATCTGTGCATTGGCCCCCCGACAGAAGACGGCTTCTTCTACGAGATGGCGATGGAGGAGAGGTGCGTCCCAGTATTCGCATGGCACAACCGTCCTTAACAGAGCGGCTACAGAGTCGTGCAAAACTCGGATTACCCTGCCCTGGAGAAGCTGACGGACTTGGCTGTCAAGGAGAAGCAGAAGTTCGAGCGGATTATGGTTTCAAAAGAGAAGCTGCTGGAAATGTTCGGGGTGCGTGTATCTCCCTCAGTCGTCCAAGTACAGCGCGCTCACGGTCCGGGCAGTATAACAAGTACAAAAAGTACCTGATCGAGACGAAGATTCCCGACGGCGGGGAGACGACAGTGTACCGCTGCGGTCCGATGATCGATCTCTGCGTGGGCCCGCACATCCCACACACTGGCAAGATCAAGGCGCTCATGGTGACCAAGGTAGGCGCGCAGGTGACTGCAGGCTCGGCCATTGGTGACATCGTACACAGAATTCGGCATCGTATTTCCTCGGAGACTCGAACAACGACTCGCTGCAACGCATCTACGGTATATCGTTCCCCGACAAGAAGCAGATGTCCGAGTACAAGGTATTCCTCGCTGAGGCGGCACGGCGGGACCACCGGAAGATCGGCAAGGAGCAGGAGCTATTCTTCTTCAATGACCTAAGCCCTGGAAGCTGTTTCTTCCTCCCGCACGGCACGCGCATCTACAACACACTCTTAGAGCTCATGCGGGCAAGTCGCTGCATCCCTGGCTACAGACTCTCTGTGCTTACTTACCAATGCAGTCGGAGTACTTCAAGCGAGGATACCAAGAGGTCATCTCGCCGAACATGTACAACTCTAAGCTATGGGAGACGTCCGGACACTGGCAGAACTACAAGGACGACATGTTCACGCTGTCCGTGGAAAAGGAGCAATGGGCGCTGAAGCCGATGAACTGCCCCGGGCACTGTCTCATCTTCGACAGCCGCGATCGGAGCTACAAGGAGCTGCCGATCCGTATGGCTGAGTTTGGTATCCTCCACAGAAATGAGGCCAGTGGCGCGCTCACTGGTCTGACGCGTGTCCGGCGATTCGTCCAAGACGATACGCATATTTTCTGCATGCCGTCGCAGGCAAGTCCCGTGTAGTCTGAGTCTGCTTTGTGCGCTATGGCTGACTGAAATGTGTGAACAGATTGAGGATGAGATCTCGCTGCTGTTCGACTTCCTTCAGCACATCTACGGCTTGTTTGGCTTCGACTTCAAGCTTGAGCTATCTACTCGTCCCGATAACTACCTTGGCACCATCGAAACATGGAACGAGGCTGAGGCGGTACGTGGCGTTCTTCTGACCTTGCTTATTCTCCACGTCAGCCCTAATCATCATTTGCCGAGCAGCAACTGAAGAGATCCCTCGACAAGCAATACCCTGGCAAGTGGGATTTGAACCCCGGAGACGGCGCGTTCTACGGACCCAAGATCGACATCACCATCCGTGATGCGCTCCGTCGGTCCTTCCAGTGCGCGACGATCCAGCTCGACTTCCAGCTCCCTGAGCGTTTCAACCTCAAGTACCGCTCCGCGGATGACGCCACGGGCGACAAGCCTCCGAGTCGGCCAGTCATCATCCACCGAGCGATCCTCGGAAGTTTGGAACGATTTATCGCTATCATCACGGAACACTTCGCTGGGAAGTGGCCGTTCTGGTTGTCGCCGCGGCAAGTGTTGGTGGTCCCGGTCGCCAACCCATTCGTGAGCTTGCACGATAATGTTTGCACCACGTCTTTGCTCATCTTCCACTCAGAAAGATTATGCGGCTGAGATCGCACAGAAGCTGAACGACCTAGGCATCTTCGCTGACGTCGACAACGGCGATAACACCCTGCCCAAGAAGATCCGCAACGGCGAAATCGCGCAATACAACTTCATCCTCGGTGAGCGAGATTGCCCAAACGTGTTACAACACGATCGATCTGATGACCGTGCTTTTTCAGTCGTCGGGCAGGCTGAACTCGAAACGCGCTCTGTGAACGTCCGCAACCGTGACAACGTTGGTACCAAGGGCAGAGACGAGACGGTCCCGCTAGACGATATCATTCAAAAGTTCGTCGCGCTGAGAGCGAGCAGAAGCTTAGAGAACAAGCTCGCATGAGGCAGGGTGGAACGCAGATAGAGTCGTCGTGTTTACTGCTATGAACGAAGACGATGCTGTGTCCATACTAACGGTAGAGAAAGAGAAGAAGAATGCTATGATACAGAACATGTACGATGAAACCTCGACGCTG